GTATGGGGCAGTAGAAAAGGCTTCTGTTCAACAACGGGTGTTTACCTTGCGAGCCTCCCCAGATGAAAAACCAGACAGTGGTTACCACTTGCAAGAACTTGTAAGGCCAAAGTATGAATTGAAATACAGGCCAGAGCCTCCCGAGTCCAATTCATTAGTCATTGAAACTAACAAGATGACTAGTATGTTCTCTGATATCAGCCAGAGTGAACATTACAAATTCCATACTCCTCAACTACCAGATTTAGCACATTCTAACATGTGTAATGAATCCAAGGTATCAGGTGAAACTCATCCCTTAGAAGGTGATGGTTATTTCAGTGCTTCTGAGCATGAACAGACCAAATCCAAAGGTCCTAAAGATACTTGGTATAGTACAGAAAGTCCAGACAAAGCCATGGGGATATTTTCTGAAGGAATGAATCCCAGGGCAGTTGATAGAGGGCGTCCAATTACCAGACAAACTAGAGCCCGTCCTCAATTTTCCTTGTTCCCAAAGAGAGTATATTCAGGTAGAAACCCTGTGTCCCAGCGGGTTCAGTTATCAAACAACTCTCTTCTGGATGACCCATCTGTTGTTGATGCAGATGTTGACAGCTGTGACAGCTCTGACTATGCAACAGCTGGTGAATTATTAGAACCTGGCAAGTCTAAAATGAACCCTGCCAAAACCAAATTGAGTCAGAGAGAGGTATATCCTTGTATCTCAGAGTCTGTAATTACTCAGTTAGTTCAGCAACAGATGACGATACTTGGTCAAAATCTGACAAAGGTTATAAAAAAGACCCTGAAAAAGAATTCCAATTCCAAGCCAAAGTCAAAGCGATATGTCTCATATTGCCAAATATGTGAAACAAGAAGCCACTCCATCTTTGACTGTGACCAAAGACACCCCAACTCTAGGGTTACTGGTGTCAGAGCTTGTTTTAAATGTGGAAATGACCATCGTATAACTGATTGTCCTTCTCTAAAAGAAGGACCAGATCAGTTTGAACACTAAATCATTATAGTGTTATTGTGTGTCTAGAATCAGGCCAGAAAGATGCACCTCATTTACCATAAAGAATGGCCTTTAGAACCATGCTACCTTAATTTTCCATGTTTCTGATGTTGATGTAAAACTATTATCCAATCAGAAGATTTATGCTTAGGTATGCATTACTTTGTTTAACGTTGAAAACACTTTATTTGATTTTCAACACATGTGTTTTATTTTATTCCCTTTTTTGCTCGTGTCTTTGTCTGCCATGAATTGCGGGCTGTTTTGAACTTGATGTTATTTAAAGCCCATGGCAGTGAGCTAGGTGGTAATGCAAGAACCTGGATACACGTAAGGGAACTTTATTTATTTTTTATTAACCATTATTGTCATTGATTGCCATGCCAGAGCCTTACTTTACCCGAGCATTAGTGTTAATTGACAGCATTGGCCTGATCAACCAATGTTTGTACACATGTATACTGTTTGCTCTGGGAGGAACTAAGTAGTGAATAAAGTTCGTGAGGGCATGGTAATATGACAGTTGAACCCAGAAAACTGCTTTTGTTGAACTCCTGAGGTGGATTCATTTGCAGTGGATAACAGCTTTTGATTGACTAGGATTGAGTGACACCGTGGATAGGGCCCATCCATTGTCTTTGTTGAAGTGACATACCTGGTTTTCTGGCAGGTTGGTGATAGGTGTTTCTCATCTTGCCCACCCAGTCATGTTACCCATTTTGCGTTTTTGGTGTACTGTAGCGTCTCCAGGAATATGACACGGTGATGCTTTCACCCGACAGAATTCCACCTCAACTTCCTTTGTATTGAAAGGGTCATTGTGACTGAATTTGAATCATTCCCAGTACAAATGTTATGAGATATTATCTGAAAACTACCAATCCGAAGCTGATTGTGAAAGGATAAATCTTGATCATACGTTTGATTGATTCAATCTCATTGTACAACCCTTTATTTTGGCCAATTCATATCACATGAGTGATATTCGAAATTTATAATTGTACTTTCTGAATAACAAGCCTTATTTCCAGGACTGCGATGATTTGTTTCCAGTCCCATATGAACAATAGTGATAACCTTCCAACTTATGAACATTTGAACACGATGATGATAATCTTTCCGGTTCAACTTACTATTACATATTTGGTGTACCCATGAGATGACATGGGGGACCAGTGACAATGTTGATAACCAGTGATGATTATGAACAAAGACAAAAGCTTTATATTTATAAACTCATCTATATGATACATCTGCACTACGAGAAGCCACATGAGGAATATGACAATCTCAATGTGTATAAATTGTATACAAGTTATCAAACTTTTGCATGTTTTAGTACCAATTGGTAGATGGTGATTTTAGAAACATGTGTATTTGTATCTTTGTATTTTCAGAGTTCGGGGTCGAACTGTTTTAAAAGGGGGAGCAGTGTGATGATCCTCCCATACTTAATACAATGTTATGTGATTATTCTGGAGGATTATCACTTTGTTTTAATTGCTCTTACCTTTATTTATCAATTATGTTTGTAGATACTTCATAATTCAGGAGTTTGTTCAGAATTTTCTTATATTCACTACTTCCTTGTTTGTTGATAGTCTCATTAAAACATTTATATGTGAATTTCCAACACTAGGCACATTATGTCAACTTTATATCAAATGTTGGTCATGTTATTGTTTATTTTAGCAATATTTAATGTTTATTATGTGTGATTGTTTATAGGGGCCAAACTAAAGCGATTACATTTTATTTTGAGACTATAAAATTTTGCCTAGATTTGCATGAATCATCAGTTCTTCAGTGAGACTTTGAATCACCGGCAAGTAACAGGAATTAACTTTCTCTCTGCATTTTGGATTTAATACACATACATATTGGATATATAACATCTTATTAGATACACTAACCTAGGTGAACGGGTTGGTAAGGTAATGGAATTACTTTTACTCTAAAACAGAGGAACTGTTTATACTTTTTCCTTGTTGGTGAATCTTCTGATTTCTCTCACTCATTTAGCTTCATTTACATTAGCATAAATTCATTTAAACCACGTTGAAGGTTATTATATCAGGTTCTAAAAGAATATTCAGGACCATTTTGTTTGATTACGACTTTGATTTCGATCTGCCTGGTCACGCCTTGACTCAAACTGTGGCTGTACGTATTATAGCAGATTGATTTGAACTTTCAGACATTTTATTTCTAATTAAACCCTCATAAGCATTGAGTGAGCTACGTGTACATTCTTGTGAGAAGCATTTCTGATTCATTTGAAATTTACAGATTGACCTACATGTATATTTAAGATTCAATCGCCAACTTGGTATTTTTGGCTTTATCTTATATAATTTGAGGGTAATATCTGCTTGCCAGTGTTGATTATTTGAGTCACTGGAATATTCATACTTAAAATCTACATTTTGAACTGAAAACTTGAGAGAACTATCAGCTATTTATTTCACTTTTATATATATCGCAACTGCCTAATGTATTCCATATATCCCCAAGGTCGGGTTTGATTTGTTGTAATTAAGCTATGGCAATTTATTTGCTGCTACGCTGTTAGTGCGTGGCTCTCGAAATAAGATACAACCCCCCCCCTCAGCATAGTCTTGAAGAATTTGAACAAGCGTTGCATATTTAACTGTACCAATAATATTTGTGCCACTAAAATATTCACTCTGTATATGAGAATTACATTGTAAATTGCAACTTGTGAGAAACATTGGCTATATTTGTTCCCAAAGTTTTACTATTATTGCATGTAGTATTATTTCACATTTTATTCTAAATATTCCCGAGACGAGTTGGTTTGGGGTGATCAAGGCAATCTTCATATTTGCTGACACTCTTTAGGGGATCTGTGTTGCACCTGGTTAGTATCATCAGGCATGGACTAGTTACGATTTTTTAGTTGTAAAACAGCTTCACAGCATAACCATCTTTTGAGCGCTCCATTCATTTCACTGGGCATATTTTATTTATCTTAATCTTGATTGCACGAATACTGAAATTCTGAAAGAATCTAGCAATTGTTATATTTTTCACTTCATTACAGAGTTATTTAAATATTTCCGGGGTAAGGTCATTATACAGAGTAGGAAGGGCAATTAATTGGCTGCTACTTTTGTTTGTCCCAGGGAACTAAACATAGCCAGTGTCAGTATCAAGTTGCTCATATAAAGCCTCACAGCCTATTTGATCTGTGTGTGCCTTTGTAATTACTGTGAGTCAATTCCATTTCAAGTGTTGCATCACTTTCTACAGTTTTTGTCCCATTTGCTACACAGTGACTATCCGACCATCCCTTTATATTTTCATTGCACTAATCAAACCCCTACTAATTAGACAGGTCATTTTACCAAGTGAGGAAAACTGGCAGGCAGAATTAAGAGTATCAAGTTACGTTATAGTTTGCATTGAATTTCCTAGATACACTGAATTTCATAAGTGTATTTGACTGAAAAGAACGTTACTTTCTGTTGTTTTGCATAACTGACGGTAAATCTATGTAGAATTGTGTAACCAAACACATGTATATATTTTGAAATAGAGTTGAATTATATCCATTTTATATAATTTCCCATTACATTCTCTGTTGTGTTGAATGCTTGTGTAGGGTGAATGTGGATATAGATCAGTGTTTGAAAAGACCCCCATTCCCATATATTTTACAATCTATTGTCAAGCTAGACCATTAAAAATCCAAATACTTGATAGCTGGGTAACCCAGGACCACGCTACCCAACACCCTGGGTTGCCACATATGGGCATGTCGTGATACAAAATTCGAATTCAAACAGCCGCCATTTTGTTCACTTCAACATTTGAATCGTGAACTTTGGTCTTATTTTCTCACGAAAAAATCCAAAACTAACAAGAAATGTCGAGATATTGGTTCGAATCCTTTGAACTGTTCATTTTGAATTTATAGTCGGTTTTAATTTCAGAAAAAACGACATTTCGACGTTTTCATTGTTGGAAAATATCGAGTTTCGATCCTGGGAGCTAATCCTTTTTGGAGCCGTACAATACTGTTCTTGAAATTTCCCCAAATGTTGTATCGGAACCATTGATTTCACTTTCAGTTGGAATGTGTTCTTTCCACTTTCGCACAAAAAGATGAATTGCATAATTGTTATGCCAATTATAGTGTGTAGGGAATATCAGGAATATCAGATTGATTTCTTTCGGTGATGGTCGATTGAGAGACGTCATCTTGATGTGAATATCTTCGGGAAATCGTGAAGCAATTTTGTCTGCCATGCGTCCACTATTATACCCCCATTTTGATCTTTGATCATCGACATAATTGTTGATCCATATTTTCAAGAATTTTGAACCTGGTTCCGAGATGATGATCCCACCACATAAAAGAACAGTTTCATTCAAGCTTTCAGACCCCATTGTGAATGAGTGTACGCGCAGAGGATCAAATGATCGTAAAGCTATCACAATCTAAATAAATACCCCCTGTTCTGTTAAGTATGATAAGTCTATCAATATAACTGGCTGAGGTATCTTCAAAAAAATGAATTTGCTTACCGAACAAACTACTTGTAGGAGAACGATGGATAATCTCAAAAGTTGATATCTCAGTTGTTCGATTCCAGTAATGTCCATTTGGAGTGCAATTTGTGTGGAACATAATTTTTGATGGTCTAATGAACTTTGATGCACTCAGTATGCTAAGATACTGTATAAATGTCCACTGAGAGGATTTCCTTGAATACCATATATAGTGTACTATATTAGGTACTTTGTCTTGAAGATTCTCTGTAGTTTCAAAACGACCAGATCCAGGAGGAACAACAGTCCTTCAGTATGTTTCGCATCCATTGTCGAGGTTGCTTTCCTTTAAGTGTCGGACACATATGTAAATACATAAGCTAGTGTAAACATTCCCAGTATAACACACAAACGATGTGCTCTTTTCATGTTAGAATGTGTAATGTACGCTATTCCTTAGATTATCTATGTATTGCACTGTCGCTTGTATTGCATAATAGAGAGGGTTCGCACAATGGATGATGCCTAAAACGAATTCGCAACCGCATCTCATTTTAATTGATCTACATGCACTTTAATTGTTCTACTACGCACGGAGGATGCGTCACAGATTTTAAATACGTTGGGCTAAAGACGTTATACGAAACCTCCTTACTAGTACTTTAAAATGAATGAAAGAAGTTGAGGGGGGGGGGTATGTAGGGTGACTCTGTCCGTATATCCGTACGTCTGTACGTCCATGGGCAATAACCCAAATACCGTTGGACCAATGCCATTCATATTTATACCTGAGACTAATATACAGTTTATACGTATATGCCCCGTGGGATGTGCTTAAAAGCTAATTTTCAAAATTGATATGTTTTAAAAGCAAAAAAGCTATATAGGATATTGATTAAGTTCAAAATCTAAATACAGAGTGATCCAAAATATCATTTACACATTTGACAACGTAGAATTATCTAACGACGGTAAAATTTCCCAGTATTTTTTCATGGACCTGTCCTACGGATATGTAAGTTCTGTGTGCAGAGCTGTCAAGTGTCCCGCGAATGGCGGGATTATCCCGCGAATTTGATCAAAATTAGGCTAATTCGCGTGTCCCGCATTGTCCCGCGAAGTCCCGCAAAATGTGGCTTTGACCTCCGCGAATTTCCGAAATTGTTGCAATCCCCTATATTTTGATTATCTTATCTTATATAAGAAACTAAGTTTTTGCACTTTTGAGGAGTAAAGTTTACCTAATTTTAAGTACCTAGCATGCTGTTGTTTGGTATCAAAATAAAGGGGAAGGATTCAACTTTCATTTTAATTACGAAAATAGGGATGTAGGTCACAAATAGTTCCAACGTTGGCCTTTTTACTAACCGTGTGGCCTTCATCTCAGAACTGAGCAAATGTTAGCAAACGCGAGTTACAATAAATGGACGCTGATATCTAGAAAGGGTTTGTATAAAAAACCGGGTACCGGGTAGTAAATCCTCCATGCTGGGTTCAAACTTGGTACCCGGTACCCGGTCAATAAAAAACGGGTACCCAAAAAACGAAAAATACGAATATATAACATAATTAGATTATGAGAAAACGTGTAAGATTTGTTTTGAATTTGCAAAAATGTATGTAACATGATTCAAAATTGAGCTAGAAGCTTCAAATAAAAAGCATATTTTAAGGCACTTTTCTTCCTCTATCGTTATGGCCATATTTTCATTGGTTATGGGGGGGGGGTGCGATCGCACCATCGCACCCTCTCCTGGCTACGCCTATGACATTGTAAGACATAACAATTTACAATTCAGTGGACATTTTGTCATAAATTGGGATAACTTAAATTATGATTAATAATCAAAATCTTACACGTTGCATCATGTAAATTAACACACGTCACCTCTCTGCTAAAGCAACGATAGCTATTTACAGATTTAAATCATAATCAAAACAATTCACGTACCAACATACGAACTATTGAAAATAGAGTAAGATTGATTTGTCTTGTTTTTCAAATCGTCTTACAATGTCATTGGCGTAGCCAGGAGGGGGTGCGATCGCACCCCCCCCCCCTTCATTACCAATGGAAATATGACCAAGATGATAGAGGAAGAAAAGAGCCTTAAAATGCTTTTTATTTGAAGCTTCTAGCTCAATTTTGAAGGAAGTTACATACATTTTTGTAAATTCAAAACAAATCTTACACGTTTTCTAATGATCTAATTATGTTGTGTATTCGTATATTTCGTTTTTTGGTTTTTTCGACCGGGTACCAAGTTTGAACCCAGCATGGAGGATTTACTACCCGGTACCCGGTTTTTTATACAAACCCTATCTAGAAAATTAACCTCATTCCCTATAATTTGATGTAGATTAATCGAACCCCTATATTTCAATTGAAAGCCCATACCTACAGTATATGAATAGGTACATTTTAATATATAACATTATGGGGGTAAGCGTTTCATAGTTGGTCACGACGCCAGAAGTGCAACGTATTGTTCCGAATTTTTTAATTTCGTGTTAGATTACGGTAATCACACCTGAAGCATGGTTTTTGTTTTTGATAAATTACAATAAAGTTTAATAATATTCCTATGCGTATTTTGTGAAATTGTGTTGACGTTTATTTAAGTTACAATGTAAAGGTGCATTATATTTGATTAATCAGTATCTGAAAGTTTGATTTAAGTACTTCTACACGCTTTTACATTAGTCCCAATCACGCAAATCCCTTGAATGTCCCGGGACATCCTGCAAATTTAGGTGGATGTCCCGCGAAATCCCGCAAATTTAGGGCACTTTGTCTAAAAAATCTGTCCCTCTATGAAGTTTTTGGTGGTACACCTGTTAACTGTCCCGCAATTAGGGTGTTTGTCCCTCGAATGGTCCCGCGAAATCCCGCGAATTTGATAAAAAAAAACTCCTATTAGCGCAATCACGCAAATCCCTTAAATGTCCCGCAAAATCCCGCGAATTTAGTAGATGTCCCGCAAAATCCCGCGAATTTTGGGCACTGGGTCTAAAAAATCTGTCCCGCGAGAAAATCTTTAGGGGTTGACAGTACTGTGTGTGGTGTACGTTTATTTTGATATACCGCCTTAATGAGAACATGGGCCAATAGCTTGTGATGTGCTAAATCAAAGGTTGAAATCTAAAAAATAAAAGTTCGCTACAGGCGAACCTATGCACCAACAAGAACTGGTTTGATTAATAATCAATAGGTGGTAAACATAAAGCTCATTGGTGTTGAATCGCTGTAGTCAATTGCACATTTGATTTGTTTGCGTATAAAAGAATAAATGCTTCATCTTTTTAGGTGGGGTGCCAGAAATTTTGTGATTTCTGGCCACTTGTGAAATATAACTCCCAAAACAAAATTTCCTAAATATTTTTCAAATTTCTCTTTTCTGTGCATGGGGTAGGGGGTAGCACCCTCATATTACTAATTCGAGATGTCATTTGGTGATTTCTTTGCACTTCAAATGTCTAATATATATAAGTTGAAATGAATAAAAAGTATTTTAATGTCATATTTGAAATCTACGCGTGATGTAAAAGTACTACATCTAGAAATATGGTTTCGATAATTGTTGATCAACATTGAAATTATATTTTGGAAAATGGGCCTTCTAGGAGTTCGGGGAGATTCCCCGCAGTCCCCATGTTAGTGAGCGCATTGCATTATAAGATAAAATTCAAAAATAAATCATGGCGTAGAATATTGGAAATAGTCACTGTAGTGTCTGATGCTGTCCCCAGCTCCGATTTCGGTGATCGGCTAGTATAAAAGGTTTGAGGGTATCATTTTGTTCCAGACACTCTTTAGAGTAAATTATCCTAACTTGAGTAAAAATGTGTGGTAAGTAAATTCGCTATGGGCAGTTAAAGAGGCGCCATCTATTCATTTTCAAACAGGGGGTAGGGGTATAAAATAATTTTTAACACATTTTAATAGTAAAATGACATTGAAATACTAATAAAATCTTATCAAAAACATTATTTACAATCAGTATGAATTTTCTTGTGTGGATTAGGGTGAAAATAAGGGCATATCTTGAAATTCACTACAGGGGCGCCACCTATTTTCATACTTCTGCCACGTGTAATAACTTATTTTAGATTCGTTAAGGTACGAAATGTACTGAAAAAATTCATTCTGAAGAACCTATATATGTTCATATCACATACTTAAAATTGGATCAATAGCTTTTGTACTGGCGAAGAAAAAAATTATTGAAATTTAAAATTGTGGCATCATGCAGGATAGGGGTGACCATATCTCACATTATTAACTTCCAAAATATGGAGCATATGTATCTCAAATGTACTCAAAATGGTGTATGTACTCTTACTTTGTCATAATATTACTAATAAGAAGTAGAAAAATGATTGTACATTTTAAAAAATATTAATTCTCATTTTGGCTTCTGACGTCCCAGGGGTGACCATATCTCACCTTAATAACTTCCAAAATATGGAGCATATGTATCTCAAATGTACTCAAAATGGTGTATGTACTCTTCCTTTGTCATAATATTACTAATAAGAAGTAGAAAAATGATTGTACATTTTAAAAATATTGATTCTTATTTTGGCTTCTGACGTCCTATGGGTGACCATATCTCACCTTAATAACTTCCAAAATATGGAGCATATGTATCTCAAATGTACTCAAAATGGTGTATGTACTCTTGATTTGTCATAATATTACTAATAAGAAGTAGAAAAATGATTGTACATTTTTAAAAATATTGATTCTCATTTTGGCTTCTGACGTCCTAGGGGTGACCATATCTCACCTTAATAACTTCCAAAATATGGAGCATATGTATCTCAAATGTACTCAAAATGGTGTATGTACTCTTGCTTTGTCATAATATTACTAATAAGAAGTAAAAAAATGATTGTACATTTAAAACAATATTAATTCTCATTTTGGCTTCTGACGTCCCAGGGGTGACCATATCTCACCTTAATATAATATAATAACTTCCAAAATATGGAGCATATATCTCACATGTGCTCAGAATGGTGAATGTACTCTTGCTTTGTCATAATATTACTAATAAGAAGTAAAAAAAATAATTGTACATTTAAAATAATATTGATTCTCATTTTGGCTTCTGACATCCCAGGGTCGACCATATCTCACCTTAATAACTTCCAAAATATGGAGCATACGTATCTCAAATGTACTCAAAAAGGTGTATGTACTCTTGCTTTGTCATAATATTACTAATAAGAAGTAGAAAAAAATGATTATACATTTCAAAAATTTTAATTTTAGCTTCTTACGTTCCTGGGTAATCATATTGCACCATATAATAATAATAATAACTTCTAAGATACGTAACATATAATCCTCAAATATTCTCAGAAAAGTCCTGTCTTTTTCATATTACTAATGAAATGTAGAAAAATGATTGCATTTTTTTAAAAATTTTTAATTTAAGCCTCTGGTGTCCCAGGGGCTATCTCACCTTTATAACTCTCACAATATGCAACATATGCATCTCAAATGTGAGCTCAAAATGGTCTTGTTTTGTCATATTTATTGAGAATCATGAAATCAACAGTTCAGAATCAATGGATTTTGACTGTCTCCTCTACAGCTACATATAATTCAGGGCAAATAATATCTGCCTTCAAATATTTGCATCTGCTCCCCAAACACCCTTTACAAGTACAATGGATGAGATTATTCCCTTGCATACATTGGACCCAACATCTTTTGTAATCCATACAGGAATCCTTTTTGCCTGTCAATAGTGGGAGTACTTTACTCCATTTATGAAGTAATGGCAACTGCTAATGTAAGGTGTTAATATGTTATCCTGTGGCCTGCAATATATGCACCTTGGATTATACACTGAATTAAGGGATTTTGAGTATGTAAAATATGGGAAAAGGAGCTCTTTGTAATGATAAATCTTTCTAGCCACATTAACATTCTCTAGTTTGCATGTTTGTCATACAATATACATTGATTGTAATGAAATATTAATCTATGATTGTGATGCCCCACACTTCTAGGGTCCCAAAGAAGAGATTAGCTTTTGGAACAATTGCATTATTCTTGGCACGGTAGGCCATACAGTGAATACAATTGTTGAGATTGGGCAATAACAATATAGCATATCATGACAAACCATGCAAACTAGAGAATGTCAATCAGGATTAGAAGTGACTTATCGCCCTTGTAATTTAGCAGTGGGACAGTTTGGTGTATGTTTGGGCATAAATGCGCCTTTTAGGCCTAATTTTTCAGGATGTTATCAAAATTTTGGGTCAGATTTGGAGTTAAGGGGCCAATTTTTGTAAATGAGGCTAGGCTACTCACACTACTGATAGGCTACCAGTATACAAAAGATGTTGCATCCAAGGCATGCAAAAGACTTATCGTCCATTGTTCCTGTAATATAAGGAGTGTTTGGGGAGACGATGCAAATATTTGAAAGTAGATCTTATTGTCTCTTGGCTATATGTAGCTGCATCCTTCAGGGGAGACAGTCAAATCCATAAATTCTGAACTTCTGATTTCATGAATCCAATAAATATGACAAAACAAGACAATTTATACCATTTTGGGCACGCATTTGAGTTGCATATGTTGCATATCGTGAGAGTTATATCAAAGTGAGATATAATTGCCCCTGGGATGTCAGATTCAGAAGCTAAGATGAAAATTTCAATTAAAAAAAGGTGTAATAATTTTTTTTACATCTCATGAATAGCATTATGACAAAGCAAGACTATGTGCCCCATTTTTGGTATATTTGAGTTGTATATGTTACATAATTTTAGAAGTTATTCAGGGACGTCAGAAGCTAAATGTATAATCATTTTTTTACTTCTTATTAGTATAATATTATGACAAAGCAAGAGTACATACACCATTTTGAGTACATTTGAGATACATATGCTCCATATTTTGGAAGTTATTAAGGTGAGATATGGTCACCCCTGGGACGTCAGAAGCCAAAATGAGAATTAATATTTTTTCAAAATGAGCAATCTTTTTCCTACATCTTATTAGTAATATTATGACAAGACAAGACTATATACACCATTTTGTGCATATTTGAGATACAAATGCTCAATATTTTGGAAGTTATTAAGGTGAGATATGGTCACCCCTGGAACGTCAGAAGCCAAAATGAGAATTAATATTTTTTAAAATGTACAATCATTTTTTTTACTTCTTATTAGAAATATTATGACAAAGCAAGAGTGCATACACCATTTTGAGCACATTTGAGATACATATGCTCCATATTTTGGAAGTTATCAAGGTGAGATATGGTCACCCCTGGGACGTCAGAAGCCAAAATGAGAATTAATATTTTTTGAAATTGTACAATCATTTTTCTACTTCTTATTAGTAATATTATGACAAAGCAAGAGTACATACACCATTTTGAGTACATTTGAGATACATATGCTCCATATTTTGGAAGTTAATCATGTGAGATATGGTCACCCCTATCCTGCATGATGCCACAATTTTAAATTTCAAGAATTTTTTTCTCCCCCGGTACGAAAGCTATTGATCCAATTTTAAGTATTTGGTATGAACATATGTATGTCCTTTAGAATGATTTTTTTCAGTACATTTCGTAGCTTAACGAATCTTAAATAAGTTATTACACGTGGTAGAAGTACGAAAATAGGTGGCGCCCCTGTAGTGAATTTCAAGATATGCCCTTATTTTCACCCTAATCCACACAAGAAAATTCATACTGATTGTAAATAATGTTTTTGATAAGATTTTATTAGTATTTCAATGTCATTTTACTATTTAAATGTGTTAAAAATTATTTTATACCCCTACCCCCTGTTTGAAAATGAATAGATGGCGCCTCTTTAACTGCCCATAGCGAACTTACTTACCACACATTTTTACTCAAGTTAGGATAATTTACTCTAGCGAGTGTCTGGAACAAAATGATACCCTCAAACCTTTTATACTAGCCGATCACCGAAATCGGAGCTGGGGACAGCACTATGTCATAAATCCCGGGACAATGAATCTCGGATCCAAGTACGTCATTAATGGTCGAAAATCAAAATATTGACAAGGATCCGTTGAATCCTAAGAAAATAAATGATTTGCTAAAAAGTTATTAAGATTTTAAATTTTGATGAAGACTGCTCTCCATTGAAATCTTTGGACCATGACAAGGAGGATTGGCTCCCAGAATGCAACACCGATATTCTGCAAAACAATCACCTAGCGATAGCTTTGTTGGAGAGTATCGGGTCATTCTCCATGCAGTCGTACAAATTATACAGACACGAATAGCAAATGACGCATGCGTGGAGATTAAAGAATATCGAGTTGGAACCCTGGCTTCCAATCCTCCTTGGACCATGAAATGTCGATTTACGCGCATAATAAAGACACAGTTTCATTGAAATATGGCTTTAAGAAAAGAAATCTATAACATCGCAAGCATCACAACAAAATATATTTTTAGATTAATGTAACTTTATAAATGTAGGGAAATGTAGTTTGTATAATTGTAATCTGGCCATCCCCTGATAACACAGTGGCCGTTAAGCACATCAGACAAGGTAGAGTAAAGGGACATGGAGCTCAATATTTTTTTCTATTGTTGAACTTGGATTTATCTGTTTTTTTCTAAACACGTGCATTTGACAATAAGTGCTGAAATGAAATTTAACTTGTAGTTTACATTAGGCTACATATTATGAACTGCAGTCCCGGGAAACTTATAAATCTGAAAAAACGCAATGAACGAAAAGAGTTTTATTAGCGTAATCTGGCCACGATTACTTCCGACCAAGCTCGTTTTGAATATTATTTTACATTTTATGGAATTATGAGTACCTCTGGGTCCGTGTCGAAGGTAAGACTTCATATATTGCTTGAAAAATACGGTTCTTCGATAAAAGTAAACAATCAACAACACCAGATGAAGCAATATTAAAAAATTGAAGCGAATTCACAATTGAAAAATTCCCGCATTTTCTTTCTTCGTTCAATTTTCTGAAATTTCTTTTTTTCTTGGCCGGGGAACCTGTTACCCAGGTTTTTCCAAGAAAAGCAGTGAGTCCAAACTGAAATTATTTTCTCCAAAAAATTCACGATTCGCCATTGTAGATGTTAGCATGCCCATGATGTGTCGTAATACTTAGTAGTGAACAGAAGCCCCCCACCCCCCTTATGTTATATATAGGTTACACCATGGGCTTTCAATTAGAGAAAGTTTTAAAAAGTAAAAAATATGGTAAATAAAAAATTATTTTTACCTTGGTTCGCCAAAGGATTCCCCCGTTACGCCTAACAATACTAACATAAAGATAACACTTCAAGGAAACATATAGCTTTTTTTCTCACCAGTCAAACTGGCTTATTATCAGTCAGATTTACTCGCGTCCCTAGCTTACAGCTAGATGTAACTTCATTGATTTGGTATGTTATCTAGAAAAAGTGTCACACGCACCTAGAACTCCTTTTAGTAATTCTTATAAATATTTATACATTTAAGTTGAAGCGTTGCTTGTCTGGATTAAGATATTTCAAAATTTCTTTTTGGACAGAACCTCAAACTCAACAGATCCGCCATTTATACAGCTAACTCAGCAGAAAAATGGAGGTCATTTTGAAATGAAATTCCACTTAGCTAAATTAAAATATATATAACAATCGATTAGGACGGGGATATGAGCTGATATTCTGCAAATGTATTAAAGGTATGTTTCATATAATTATGCCATAACAACTGTGCGTGTGCCACCATGATTTACAAATATTGAATATCAGGGCGGCTGTAAAAGTCACTCAAAGCCGGAATAAGGAGAAGGGTTTGGACCTAAGTAAGGTCAGATAATAGGAGATTTTGCCCAACGTTTAGAATTGATCCATGCTCCTCCTGTAGTGAGTGAATAGGTGGATCTAAAGGATGTCGTAATCACAAATTCAAATGCCGCCATTTTTAATATTTTCCACTTCAGATTTTGAATCACCAGATTTGGTCTTATTCCAAAACACAAAGAGGTGATCGCGTAAACCTTTTGATCATGCTGAATATGATTTTATAGCCAGTTGTAATCACAGTGAATAATGACATCTCAGGGCGGAGGCCAGTTCTTTCAGATTCAAGATGCCTAACCTGGAGCATTCTATAGATTATATGGAGAACTTCCCATTATCCATGTTTGTCATGTATTTGACACATTTTTGTGAATTTAAACATTCTGTCCAAAACTCTCCCTCTGAACTGAAGAAAAAGATACACTGTAAATTATATTTACCGAAATGAATGCCTTTAAGGCTTCAAACCAGTGCAGGGGTTTCATGAGGATTTCTCATAACAGGCTTAATAATGAAAGCAACAGGAAAAAATAATGGAAATCATAAATTTATCATGGAAAAGTTGAAAAGTCTCTGAAAACAATGGGCGATTTTGTGAAAACGACCGGTAAAAATCGCCTGTTGCCTGCTGCAAATGAAACCTCTGCCAGTGTACTATGCATGCAAGTCTCACAAGGTTGAGTTCACTTTTCAATAAAATGAAGTAGGGGCAATCTCCGCAAGATTTATTTATTGTGGTTTGATTTTAACCTCGTTAATAGAATTGAAACAGGGAACATTTTTCACTGCCATACATAGGAATATCATGAACTCAAGTCAGAACTTACTATTTGAATGTTTAGAAAGACATGAAATCATGAGAGCAAAGGGATCGAAAATATTGTAAATTGTATCATTAGAAAGGTACTCTCAACTATTCTTTTGAAAGTCTATATCTCAATTTGTCCCTATGACATCTTGTTCCTTAAGAAAAAAAAATTGTTTCTTTAAATTGTGGAGTGATTTTGATATGACACAGAAGAGTTGGAGATAATAAAGACAGCTAGTCTCTAATACCAAAAAACACAAAACTATTGTATGTTGATAATTTGAATTTCATTTTGATATAGGGCTGCTTTGCGTTCCCTGGGAAAAGAAAGCAAGCACGAGCGGAAGATTTTCTGGAGGCCAGTAAGCAGGAGTGTAATACAGAGTGCTATCACACGTACAAACTACAATGGCAACATATGGAAGAAGCGATACAGGTGAATTTCTTTCTCCTAAAACATATTTAACACTCCTTAATTGAGATGAACAGGTGAAATAAGGATCATTTCCTGAAGGAACAAATCACGAAGTTTCGAGAGCAGCATTCGAAAATGTGAAAATCTGGCCAAAATAAAAAATATGGATTTTCATATTCATAATTTCGTGATTTTTATAGGCCAAGATGTTAAAGTTTGTGATTCACAAAAATTCATGACAATTAATAATGTTAGACAAAAAATTAAAATTATTACTCAAAAGTTGCTGATACATTCTGATAAAGGCTGAGTATAAGATTTGTCATGACTTTGAATATATATGTATGCACAAGTGTCAAAAGCATGGAACAGCTAAGTAAATGTTACAACCAGAGCTCGAAAATGTAACATCTAATAGTACTGCAAATGTGCTTATTTTGACGCTGCTTAATTTGATGGATTTGCTCAATTTCAAATATTAGTGACTATTTGATTTGGCGGGTTCAGGACTGAAGTTTAATGTCATTAGGACAGGTGTTTATTAAGATATTTTCTGTATTTCGTTTGGAATAATGTAGAATTGATGACATGTTGACAGGAAGAAGGGGTCTAGAAGTTTAATTTCTGAAGTGCATTGGATGAAAATTCCAAACTAAAATTCAACGGATTTTTAAATTTTTAATCCATCAAATTAAAGAGGGAGCCAAATTAAGTGTATCTACAGTATAACCATTCATAAGGAGACAAACCCCAAATATATCATATTATAATATCACTGAAGGTACTTGGAAATATTTCAAACTATTAATGCCATTTGAAATACATTTTCTTTGATGCATTTGCAGTTTCTCCAGGCAGAGATAAGTGGTCAGATCTTTGATGATCTGTTAAAGTTTACAGAAGCAGCGCATAGCAACAATCCACATGATAAAACAGTTCGGGAAATACCAACAGCTGCTCTTATTACAGGTAAGATGTTATTTTTTGTTAAAGTTTGCAGAAGCAGCTCATAGCAACAATCCACATGATAAAACAGTTCAGGAAATACAGACAGCTGCTCTTATTACAGGTAAGATGTTATTTTTTGTTAAAGTTTGCAGAAGCAGCTCATAGCAACAATCCACATGATAAAACAGTTCAGGAAATACCAACAGCTGCTCTTATTACAGGTAAGATGTTATTTTCTTTCATACAGAAGCACAATCATAATCCAACGGAAAGTGTGTTAATATTAAAAAATATTTAAAGTAACCTAAAGGTGACTCATACGTGTTTCAACTTAAAGGAATGGCATGCCCAAAGACATTATGTGCAGCTCATTGCATTGCATTGAATCACCCTGAGTGTGTTTTCAATGTGCCTCCTAGATTGTTACAATAAGAAATTAGGAAATACTAGAATGTTGCACAAAAAATTACAAAATCTTAAAATGTTGCGCTAAAAATAACCAAATCATCCACAAAAAATAGCAAAAATCAGTTACTCTCCCTCCGTTCATTTCTTCCGATCATTGGGCGTAATTATGAAAATTGCCACTTATGTTAATTAACCGTGGAAATTTTTTGTGTTGTATTTACCTAATGGTTGGTTGAAATAACTCAAACATAAAAAAAATTAATTTTTATGGTCAGAATAATTGAAGTTCAAATCATATAAGGAGATCACAATAAGTCCATGGCATCTATGAACTCTGGGAATTATCCTTGTGTGTTATCCAGGGGATCTATGAACTCTGGGAATTACCTTCTTGTGTTATCCAGGAGTAAATGTGACGGACCATGACGATATGTTCAGCAATTTAACGGCAATGTTGAAAGATAGAGTGACATCACATGTTGCGTTGCTGAAATCGAAAGATGGCACCAATATGAAAACACTGGTAGGGAAGACATTATCGCAATTGATGGCTTCGGGAGAAATGGTAAGATACTTGAATTGATATGGAGCAATCGTTTAAATAAGGCACATATCCCGTTTTTTGGAACTTTGGACAACAGGCAAAAAATTCCTTAAAAATAGTAGGATATTTGGAAAATCAAAATTTTTTTGTAACCATCAAGATCACGGGGGATAAGCAAAACGAGGGCGAAGCCACGGACTGCGACTCGCGTAACTTTACACCGCAGCCCAGCGCCAAAATGGAGGGACATCCGGCAGTGCCTTCTGCTTCTTCCGACAAAATAGAGAAATCCAGGTATTTTAAATGCTATCGTAGTGTCTAATCGGTGACCAAAATATTACTCTGTATCTACTGTTGGTCTGTAGATAAGAAAATAAGCAGTTGTCCAGATCAAGCTAAAACAGTAGCAAAGTTCTGATTTTACCTGTAAAATATGTGCATATTATTTAATTTACTATGCATTTAAAATGAGTTTTAACACGTTTCTGATATCTAAAGGTTAGTTGAGGCTCCGAGTATTATTCGTGAAAATGATTTGATAATAGAATGTGTTCATGAGGAGAAAATTAGATTCAAACTGCGTATTCATAGTGGACGCAGTCCAGTAAACAAAGCTATTTCAACAACGCAACACAGCCTCCATTGATATTCTAAGCAACGCAGTCCAGCTGCGAACACGAAATAAATAAGATAGTGTAAACTATATTCCTACGCTATTATTGTTTCAGGAAAAGAAAGTCAGCATCCTGATTATCATTCAAAGTTACGTTGATTAAAATATATCTATTACCTGAATCAATGTCCCAAATTGCTATATTGTATCGTTTAAGACCTAGAAATATGGCAATTCAATAGCGTATTTGGCAGAACAGGCGAGCGCAAGATGACAACGTAATATGTTTATTACAAACCAATTTGTGGATAGGGTTAAATATATAGATAATTGGATAGTGGTGAGACTTTTTATAAGAAGTAGAAATGCGAAACAATTAACTTTTTGATGATGCAATAAAAGCTGTTGGGGAAGAGTACATTAACTAGTATTTAAGATATCAGGAAAATATCAAATAATTGGAGAGTTGGTGAGTTAATGTAATTTTGGATGATCTTTCCAACAGTCCATCAATTGCTAGCTACCATAACTTCGTGATTTCAGCTGTATTTGACAGCTTGTATATATTTGCAGAATGGATTGAGACACGATGTAGGTCTATTAAAATAGCCCTTTATATTCAATTTTGTCCAAAGTTGCTCCATTTCGGCCACACCTGTACACACATTGTGCTATCTACCTTTGGCTGTGATTGCGTTCAGCTTCAGATATAAAGCAACACTGAGTCGCGGACTGCGTTGGGCAGATGGATGGACTGCGACTATTATAAATTCCAATTTTCTATGTAATTGTACGTTTTCCGCTTACCAAATATCACACGAAGATGTAATTTAGCAACAGAACATGAATAATTATATTAATTCGATGTCATTTCTGATTCCTTTGTTTAAATCGGTATATTAGGGACAAATATTGACAAAATTACATTTTTTTGTGGCAGATTTCGAATTCATTTGTGTTCATGCTAAACTATTGGACAGCCGAGCACCAAGAATGCCATTGCAGGTGGATTATGAATATGTTGATCACCGACTGGAACATACTAGCTATTCTGTAGAATATCCAAACCAATAATCTACCCCAAATCCTAACATGCCTTCCAAATTAAGTTTGGACTTACCGCCATTGTTCAGCTATAATGCGTTGTAACCTCGTTTTGAATTACGCGAGTCGCAGTCCGTGGCTTCGCCCTCGTTTTGCTTATCCCCCGTGAAGATGTAGTAAAATATTTTTATACATATTTGATATTATAGCATCTCATCCATTTTCAAAGTTAATGCTTTGTATTGTATACACATATTTTGTGTTTTATTGCTATATTATATGTCTGTCATGTCTTACTGTACATATGTTGTTGTATCATTGCTTTATTTTATTGATATATGTTATTTGTATTGTACATGTAGTTGTTAGATGATGAGGACCAAGACCAAGACACATTGAATATTAAGAGAATAAGTCCATCTATTTCTGTATTGGCCTCCTGGTACAGTCACATATAAATGTTATTTGTATTGTAGTTGTTAGATGATGAGGACCAAGACCAAGACACATTGAATGTTAAGAGAATAAGTCCATCTATTTCTGTACTGGCCTCCTGGTACAGTCATATATATATGTTATTTGTATTGTAGTTGTTAGATGATGAGGACCAAGACGCATTGAATGTTAAGAGAATAAGTCCATCTATTTCTGTACTGGCCTCCTGGTACAGTCACATATATATGTTATTTGTATGTTGTAGTTGTTAGATGATGAGGACCAAGACCAAGACACATTGAATGTTAAGAGAATAAGTCCATCTATTTCTGTATTTGCCTCCTGGTACAGTCACATATATATGTTATTTGTATTGTAGTTGTTAGATGATGAGGACCAAGACCAAGACGCATTGAATGTTAAGAGAATAAGTCCATCTATTTCTGTACTGGCCTCCTGGTACAGTCACATATATGTTATTTGTATTGTAGTTGTTAGATGATGAGGACCAAGACCAAGACATATTGAATGTTAAGAGAATAAGTCCATCTATTTCTGTACTGGCTTCCTGGTACAGTCATATATATATGTTATTTGTATTGTAGTTGTTAGATGATGAAGACCAAGACCAAGACATATTGAATGTTAAGAGAATAAGTCCATCTGTTTCTGTACTGGCCTCCTGGTACAGTCACATATATATGTTATTTGTATTGTAGTTGTTAGATGATGAGGACCAAGACCAAGACATATTGAATGTTAAGAGAATAAGTCCATCTGTTTCTGTACTGGCCTCCTGGTACAGTCATATATATATGTTATTTGTATTGTAGTTGTTAGATGATGAGGACCAAGACGCATTGAATGTTAAGAGAATAAGTCCATCTATTTCTGTACTGGCCTCCTGGTACAGTCACATATATATGTTATTTGTATTGTAGTTGTTAGATGATGAGGACCAAGACCAAGACACATTGAATATTAAGAGAATAAGTCCATCTATTTCTGTATTGGCCTCCTGGTACAGTCACATATAAATGTCATTTGTATTGTAGTTGTTAGATGATGAGGACCAAGACCAAGACACATTGAATGTTAAGAGAATAAGTCCATCTATTTCTGTACTGGCCTCCTGGTACAGTCACATATATATGTTATTTGTATTGTAGTTGTTAGATGATGAGGACCAAGACCAAGACACATTGAATGTTAAGAGAATAAGTCCATCTATTTCTGTACTGGCCTCCTGGTACAGTCATATATATATGTTATTTGTATTGTAGTTGTTAGATGATGAGGACCAAGACCAAGACACATTGAATGTTAAGAGAATAAGTCCATCTATTTCTGTACTGGCCTCCTGGTACAGTCATATATATATGTTATTTGTATTGTAGTTGTTAGATGATGAGGACCAAGACCAAGACACATTGAATGTTAAGAGAATAAGTCCATCTATTTCTGTACTGGCTTCCTGGTATAGTCACATATCAACACTGAAGGTGCAGTAAATTTTGTTAATTGATTTCAAGCCCATACATGTACTATATATTATAATACACATCTTTATATTTTAATGTTTAAATCTCAAGAAATTTGGTACCTCTTGAAAGTGAAATAAATTTCATATGTAAAGTGTTGATTTTGATCTTTTTTATTATTAAAAGCAAATACTTTCTATCAAATGAACATCTCTCCATTTTTTGCACTTTAAGCTCTAGAAACTTTTGGTAATTCTTTAAAAATGGGAATCTGATATTTTCAATATCCATGTAATATTTTAGCCTAGAACTTAAAATTTAATCTTTTAGACGCATTATAAACTTCTAAGGATTTGAATAGCAGCTTAAATACATTTTGTTTGTATTTAAAAACCGCTTAAATTTTAGAAACAGATATCAAGTCCTAGGAAAAGGAATAGTTCAGGTGCAGTAATAAAAGAGGGCAGCACTAGACCACCTGTTGTGATAATCCTCCAAGACATCGAGGGATTCCCTGCACGTGTCTTACAAGATTTCATAACCATTTGCCAGTAATATAATTCTTTTAATTAATCAACCCTTAAATATTTTAAATATTATTTAGTCAATAATTATTACAGAGATAAAGCATTTGATGTGATGGTTATCAAATCACATAGTTACTCTAAAATAGCATAAAACCATTGCTGATTTATGATTAGTCAGGCTAGGCATTGTTATATTTGTTGTTTTCACAAAATTGCCTGCTGTTTTTTAGGGACTTTGAATATATGATTTCCATTAATTTTGCCTGTTGTTTTCATTTATTTAGCCTGCTATGAAAAATTCTAGTGAAACCCCTGAGTGTTCGTAGTTGTATAATGAAACTTGAAAGGCCTTTATTACATTGTATCAGTGTATAATATTTTACAAGGAGATTTTACATATTTACATTTTCTCTATTTTTCAGTAACTACCTCAGTCAGATTCCATTTGTGTTTGTTTTTGGTATTGCTACCACAGTAACGGCTGTTCATAAACTCCTCCCCCATGCTGTCTCCTCCCTCCTCTGTCTCGAGAAATTCCAGGCTCTTCCAGCAACTGAGCATCTCAGCCAAGTTATAGACACAGTGAGTTGAAATCAGTAATTTAATTTTCACCATTTGGCTTGAGTTTGAAACTCCAGTTTCCCAACATACAGAATATACCACTGGAGTAATTTAACTTCTTCATCATGAATTCCTGTGTATGTCACCACCAGAAGTTTGATATCTTGTTATAGTCTCAAACTTTTTTGTGAACAATGTTCAGCGTTTGGTGGTTGATGTTTGGCGTTTGGTATATGTAACCAATGTCAGGTGGTGACATTTTGCATGTAAATGTCTTGTCTTTGTTTTGCAGGTATTACTGACAGACAGGTTTACATTCAAACTGAGCAGTAAAGTTTTCAAGCTTATCCTAGACACATTCCTCTACCATGACTTTTCAATACATAGTTTCATCAAAGCTCTTCAGGTACATTAAAACATGAAAGCATTTTATCTTAGAATCTCTATTATTTGTCTTTCATGTTTTGTGATTAAACTATTAAAATCTCTTTGAAACGTTACAAGAAAGCAACATTCTGAATCTCAAATAGTGATTTAAATTGGATGAAGACTATTCTCTGATAGCGAGATAAATAGTGTCAAAATAGTTCATTCTTGGAACGAAGCGTGAAACTTTCCATATATCATCAGTATACATTTATCTTTGATTTAAGAGCATGAGACATTTTTTTGGTCCACTAGAACGATAAAAAAAATTATAATTATCCCCTCTGCCCCCACCAAATCCTGGGGGTGGGGGTGAGAGAATTTTTTTTCTTTTTAAAAATATGTTTGAATATATTCATATTGCAGTTTTTGTATGCTTTTAGTATGCTCAAAATAATAACTAAGATTACATAAGCATTTCTCATGGATATACTTTGTTAAAGTCTGACTGGGGGCGACGCCCATATTATCAACAAGTCAAGATGCAAGTTAGTGAATCTTCTGATTATGAATAAGAAAGTAAACTAGTTTAGCTGAACAAAATGGATGAGGATAAATCAGTTAATGATATTTATATGGTATATGCTATAAGAATTAAGAAAGACAATTTTATTGTTAAAGGCTTGTTATTGGCCACGCCCACTTTTAGTAAATAAGATATAATATGTGTTAATCACAAATATAAATTGATTCTGTTAGGTCTTAATGAAAGCACTCTCTGACTAGTTGATCAGTTACCTTATTAGGTACCCGCATGCACTCAAGTATTATATATGCCATTATCAATTAATGTTCACATTTCCAATTACACAAATTACACAAAAAAACGCAGGGTGGTACATGGAAGATTGGCTTTAAAGCTCTTGCAGCGTTTAGTTGAACATTGTTGCTTCCAAATGCATTTTTAAAAGCATCTGAGGCTTAGGGTAGTGTCTTCCACATTGGAACTCAAATCATTTTTCGAGTCTTGGTGTTGATTGATTCCCAACCCCATTGTGAGGGTGATGGAATGACTGGGATGGCTATATTATTGGACTGCCCCCATACATATACTGCGTCTAATGTTGGGGGAATGTTCTCACTTTGTGTGGTTTTCTTCATGAACATTTCTTGTCTTGCAGCATTTATAGTTGTTTTGTTGCTTTCTGTATTGTATAAAATAATAACAATGAAAGGTTCAATAATTGGCATAACTACGGTTAACTTATTTGGATCTTCAGTCAAAATTGGGCGTTTGTCAATTCAGGATAAGCATTCCATTGTTTCCATGCTGTTGTTTTGGATTGACCATGGAATCCAGATGTGGTGTCTTAACCAGTGAGGGCATGAAATAAGGGGAGACAAGTGGCCTTGTTAAGTCCAAGGGAAGCTGCCATTTCATGGGTTGGATAATTTTTCCCATTTCCAAAAGCTATCCATATTTTGAGATTGTGAATTAGGTTCCACTTGGCGTTGTTTGCCTGTTCCTCCTTTCTGTCTGGTTGATAGTTTTAAACTGTTTTCCAGGTACTGATCCCACATAATGTCTAGTCATTCCACTTTTGCTAGCTGGGAAGAAACACAGTTTTCTATTCATTGAACATCTGAGGACTGTTGGAATATTTTGGCCTGTTGGAGTCGGTGATCAGTCTGGCTAATTCAGGCCCTCCAACCATCGACTTTTGTAGAGCTGTCTGATTATCAAAGAGCTCCACTGCTCCACCATCTGATTTAAAAGAAGATTGTTTTTCTGCTCATGAGCTTGATCGATTGCTATAGATGGCAGAAAAGCTTCGTCTCAATTTATTCACAGTGAAGTGGCCCTTCATGAAGGCTTCATAGATCTCTGGGTGTTTTTCTTGTAGTTGTACCATATCCCTTAGATGTACTGGAACCCATTGAGCTTAGTTGGAGTGGTCAAAAATGAAAAAACAGGGGAGAAGCTTGCTTATTGATTGGAGGTAAAGGGGAAGTTTTCTGATAGCCCTCACATAGTTAAGGCAGAGGAGTTCAATTTGAATAACTAGAAACCAAAACTTGAAAACTGGTACATGCTGTTGGGCATTACACCAATCATCAAACTCTTTAGGTATTCGATTGTCAAGATTCTCAACAGATGTATATGTAGCATAGGCTTTCTTCAGAAGAATGTACTGAAGCTGTCACTCTGTTGCCCTTCTGGTTCTGGTTAAAGTGTGTCACTTTCAGGAAGGAATCTGCTTATAAGACTTAAAGGATATTTAAAAGCTTGCATCTTGTTCTCATCCATTCCTTCTTATAATAAAAACATATGACATAAAGTCATCTGAGTAGTTATTGGGAATTTACACCAAACAGGAAATGAAAAAATCATGTGGATTTTAAAATTTTTTGAAGTAAGATAACAGAGTTCTGCTTTGATCTTCAGTCAGTTGTACTACTCCCATATATCGTTTACATTGCCAGGATCACAATGGTCATTGTCCCATTGTCAAAATGACCCTTACCATGCAGAAATAGCCTTTTCAGCGCTCTGAAAATGTGACTGAAAATAGTAAAAAGTCAGTGTTTCAAAAAGGTCAGTGAGCAGAATAATATAATGGGCACATTTTCTGAAAAATTCAATATATTCTGTTCAGTGACCTTTCGGAAGTGCTAACTTTTAACTTTTTTCAGTCTTTTTTCATGATCCTGGTCATGTAAATAAAATATGGGAGTAGTAAAACTGATAGAAGGTTAAAGCAGAACTCTGTTATCTTAGTTCAAACAATTCTCAAATCCACATGTTTTGGTGTAAATTTCTGATAACTACCCCGAAACCTTAAGCAATATAACTCTTAGATTAATTGCAACACCTAAAATCATAATTAAGAAAGGAATTTGATGTTATCTAGCTGAAAGGTGAATAGCAATTATTTCTTAGACCAAAAATGGAGATCTGATTAAATGAATATATTCAATATAAGAAAAGTGGGTGTCAACCTCGGTCAGGCTTTAAGAATGTTAAAATTCATGAGAAATCATCTTATTATAATGCCAATCTGTCTTACCTATGAAAGAAGCATGCTAAATCTGCAATATGAGCATATCTAAACATATTTTTAAAAATAAAAAATAAATTCTCTCTCCCCACCCCCCAGGATTTGGTGGGAGGGGGCATTTGTAATAATTTTGGTCGTTCTAGTGGACCAAAAAAATGTCTCATGCTCTTAAATCAAAGATGAATGTATATGGAAGATATATGGAAAGTTTCACGCTTCGTTCCATGAATGAACTATTTCCCTGTTTATTTGCACTATTGATCTCGCTATGAGGAAATAACAGATCTATCTAGTAGCGCACCAGATACAAATTTGATAATTAAAATGTGCCAAATTTAATATTCAGTATTGATTCCTTAGTTTACTGACTGATGCTTTATTCTGTCATATATCTTGATTAGTATAAAACAGTCAAAATTAAAGATGTTTATTTAGAAAAATGTAAAGGAAGCTAAATTGCTCCAACTACTTGATGGAGAAACTTTCTAAAGTTTCGATGCATGTCTCTTATATGTTGAGTCAAAAATTTAGAAAATTGAGAGACACAGTACATTGTTTTTTTATATACTGTATATACAATATAGTTTATATACAATTATCATTGTATTATGTATATTGTAATTCCTGATCAACTGTATATGTTTGAATGATATATAGTTCTGTATGCTGGAGCACTACACTGTGAGACCAATTAGTCTACTCTGCTGTGATCTGGAAGAAGCTGAGGAAAGAGTGGAGTCTCTTACTGCCAAACAAATAGACCAATTCAGAACTCTTCTTTCATTTAGAAGGTAAACATACAATTCATTAGTCTTTAAATGCAATGATTCTCTTAATTGACTTCCATTATGAATAGATATTTGTGTCAGCAAACCCTGATGACAAAAACATACAATTAAAGTTTACAACCAGCTCGATTTAAAAGCACCAATGTGTTTATTGAAGGGAGGAATAATGTCAATTGTAACCACCTTTCAGCCATGATTTGTTCTGAAATGAGTTAATGATACCCTAAACGATATGAGTGCTAAACTATTGAGATTGTTATGCTGTTGTTGTCTGTTATCTGTCAGTTTCACATTAAATAGAAAATGCAAGTGTATAACACAAAAAAGTACTTGTATTTACGATTTCAGGGCATATGTATTACATTTTTGTTTAAATTGTTCTATCGTACAATTTAGTAATAAACTCATATTTACAGTACTGCTAGTATTGTTTGACACCCTTCTGTTTTTTTATCATTTCTTTAGATATGTTGAATGCTGCCCGCCAAAGGATCAGATATCTCTACTCACTGAATCAGCATACACCAAGGTAGGTACTTATTGTATGTACTGATTAAATGTGGTGCATATATTTTAGTACTGTTAAATTTACTGACTACTATTTAGTGTCTTGATTAATGTGGTACATCTATTTTAGTACTGTTAAATTTACTGACTACTATTTAGTGTCTTGTTTAATGTGGTATATATATTTTAGTACTGTTAAATTTACTGACTACTATTTAGTGTCTTGATTAATGTGGTACATTTATTTTAGTACTGTTAAATTTACTGACTACTATTTAGTATCTTGATTGAATATACAATTTCAAATGTGGTACATATATTTTAGAACTGTTAAATTTACTGACCACTATTTAGTGTCTTGATTAAATATGCAATTTCAAATGTGGTACATATATTTTAGAACTGTTAAATTTACTGACTACTATTTAGTGTCTTGATTAAATATACAATTTCAAATGTGATGCATATATTTTTTTCACTTAAATTTACTGACTACTATTTAGTGTGTTGATTAATGTGGTACATATATCTTAGAACTGTTAAATTTACTGATTACTATTTAGTGTCTTGATTAAATATGCAATTTCATATGTGGTACATATATTTTGGTAATGTTAAATTTACTGAAATTACTATTTAGTGTCTCGATTAAATATGCAATTTCATATGTGGTAAATATATTTTGGTACTGTCGAATTTGCTCACTACTATTCGATGTCTTGCTTAAATATGCAATATCAATTGTGGTAAATATAGTTTAGAACTGTTAAATTTGCTTACTACTATTTAGTATCTTGATTAAATATGCAATTTCATAATGAAACTACATTTACACACATATTGTTTTTAAGAAAAGAATACTACATATGCTCGCAAGACTTGGTAGATACCACAGCACCTTTTTTCCTGTATTGAGGTGCCTACATTACATCGTTGGATCATTACCTGGGTATCCATTAGGCAAACAGGTAGGTATTGAAATCCATCATAGAAATTTTAAATTTCATGAGCCATATGATAAATCATTAATTATTCAAATATTTACTCATGCATTTTAATTAAAGAAAAAAGACTGATATTCTATGATTCATGGCAAAAAATATGACCAATGATTTTTTTCTTATCATTGTTAAAAGATCGAAATCGCAAAGCAGTTGATGTCTTTGGTGTTTGGCAGATTAAATCGAAGGTCATATATTCGCCATTTATTATAGTAAACAAACAAGATTATAGCCAGGCCTGTAGCCAGGGGGATCGATTGGTTCGAGCAACCCCCCTGGCCAAAAAATATTTCACAATCATGCAGTTTTTCACCATTCTGAGCACTTTTTAAGTGATTTTGGCCATTTTTGGACCAAAATTGTCACAAGTGAACCCCCCTGAAATTTTTTAAAAAGTGGTCATACATCCTCGATTATAGACCAGTAAATTAATTATTCAAGTTATTGTGACATCAGGTATCATATTAGAATATTACATAATGTAAGGTATGATAGAATTCTACATTGATTAGAATAACTTAAGTGACCATGTTTATAATAATTAGGCATTGAATTACAGTATACGGTAGGGCTCAGCTTGTTTACTGCTTCTTGTGTGCTTGAATGTACGTGTTTTTGAATGATGTAAGTTGTATGTTGTTTCAGCTGAGAGAAGTCTATAGTTGCAGCTTGGAGCGAAACATTTTCGAAACAGAGGGCTTCAAGGAATCATTACAAATACTCAGGTACAAACAATCATTTTTTATGTCACCACCACAAGTTGTGACATATTGTTATAGGCTCCAACTTTTTTTCTGGGTGGTGCTCGGCATTTGGCATCTGTAACAATATGTGGCATCTGTACCAATTTGTGGCATCTGTTACAATTTGTGGCATCTGTAAAAATTTGTGGCATCTGTAACAATTTGCAATAACTTACGAAGTGATGAAAGTGACATTTTGTCATGTAAATGCCTTGTTTAATAATGTTATGTCTTTCAGATTCCATGATTCAGTTTCATAAGTTAGATGACAGTTTTGGGATATTTTGGCATAACTAATTCTATTTTTAGTTGTTTCATTTTCTTCCTTACGCTCACACTTCAGTTTTCCCCTTGACCCTTAATTATCCATATTTCATGTTGCGAAAAGGAGTGTTTGAACAGGTATACTGTAATTAATGATATGTGGATAATATAAATGTGAAATAAAAAAAATGAAATAAGACTAAATGTTGTTTTCAGAAATCTTTCCAGGGATGAGTTATTTGAGAAGATAACAAAATGTCTGGAGTACTTTACATCAGACGAGGCTTATGTTGATGTAGCAGAGACACTACTCGAGTTTGCTTCTAAGTTACAGTCTGGTGAAGGTTAGAAAAGATTTTTGAGACTTACTTATTGTGCAAATGTCAATTTTTATTATCAAAAGAATTTTTTTATTGGATTTCTACATGTTATTTTCCCTTTCAAAAGTATTTGTGAGGTCAAGATTAAATTTCTTGAATATAAGATTGTGGTGGTTTATAATTTTAGAAAATTATTTTACCACTCAGTACTCTACAAGATTGCTTCTGAACACTCTCTAAATTTTCAATGAATCTGTCATTTTGTGACATTTTCCTACAATTTTAAGTACATGTACTGATTACATATCTGTTTACTTTATTTCATGCTATCAAATTTATCTATGGTTTATTTACATGTTATTTTCCTGTGATACTATTTGTGCATACAAAATAAACGATTTTTTTCAATCTAAACAACCTTGAGTCTCTCTAAACTTTCAATGAATGGTGTCATTCTGTTGCATTTGCATACACTTTTGAGTATTGATCTCCTGTCTTTTTTCTTTATCCCATGCTGTTAAATTTTTCTGTTTTAGACCTGGTTTATTTTCGCATAACTCATGAAATCATTTTTTTCTTGAAACTGGATGTACTCTGAATCATAACGCTATTTCGCCCCTTTGGTACTTGTGTATTCATTTTTTTTTTTAATTTATGAAATCATAACCTGATAACAATATTTCTCCAACAGATCTAGGTGCTTTATACGAGAGTGCAGACAGCGCAGACTCTGCAGAGGATGAACAAGAAGCTACAGCACTCCCTAAGAAAACTGACATGTACACACTTCGTAAGGTAGGATGCTTGTTGAGATATATAAGGTAGAAGTTGAAATAATGAACAAACTCATAGAATGTAATATATGATTCATATTTGCATGTCATATATGATTGGTATTTGCAGAGTTTACAAGAACTTGGCAAGAGGAAGAAGAAACTAACCATCTTTGAGAAATTGAGGAGTGATATCTTTGATTACTTGGAGAAAGTTTTCAGGTAAAAATATTATAACATATGAATTCCATTATGATATTTTCCAGTAGTGTTGAAAACAAATCAGGAAGGCCTAGTCATTGATTCAACTTGCTATAGTTTGTCTCAAGTATGAAGCAGTGAGCCCCGAAATTATTTTGGATGGAAGGAACACTATAATGGCTAGGCTATAGAGAATTACACCAACAGTTAGGGGAGGGGGGCAGGTCATATACATATTCATTCAATTCATATCTTAAGAACTTGGGGTTTCAACGTTTCAAGTTACTTCAATCAGGTCTAGTTTTCCTCCTACATAGAGTTGCAATTATTTCACTAAAACATTACTAATTCAATTCTAAGAAAAGCCAACAAGTTTCAGGTAGACACAAACTGCGAAAAAATTCCTTAGGGGTCTGGCCCCCACCCCTCCCCTTCCAAACGTAAAAAGGTTTATTGATTGAGTTTGAAATAAGAATATCATTTAATAACCTTTGGATAACTTATTTTCCTCCAAAATGTGTATTCACACAGCTTACATGAGTTAATAAAATCGCTTACAATGTTTAAGTATCCCATGTAAAATTTTGAATTATAGAAAATTCCTACCATGTCCTCGGTCTCTACCTCTACATGAAATATTCTACTATGACCACATTACCACAGTTCGGGGGTCTATCAACGGAGCCCCACGTCTTGCAATACAAACAGCTCTATCTAATCCTACACAATATCTACAGGTGAGTAACTTCTTAAACGCAGGTATTTTCCATATATTTTCCATAGTAACCATTGTCATGTCTGCATGGGATCACCATGGTAACCTTGGCTTTTTTAAATACATTCACAATTTTTCATTAGCACATGACAGCCCGAATACAGTAAAAGAAGGTGTATCATTGTCATGCCTATAATGGTTTCCATATAAGCAATCAAATATTTGTTCAAATTGTAACCTCTGTTATGTTTTTTCGGTGTAGCTTGTAGTGTTGAAGGAGGCATAGAAGCTACACTACCAGATATTTGTAAAGTCTGCAAATAACATGTGGAGTGTGTTACATGTATGTACTATTTTCTTTCAGTGTAACTGTTGTAGTGTAGAAGGAGGCATAGAAGCTACACTACCAGATATTTGTAAAGTCTACAAATAACATGTGGAGTGTGTTACATATATGTAATATTTTCTTTCAGTGTAACTGTTGTAGTGTAGAAGGAGGCATAGATGCTACATTACCAGATATATGTACATGTAAAGTCTACAAACTACATGTGGAGTGTGTTACATGTATGTAATATTTTCTTTCAGTGTAACTGTTGTAGTGTAGAAGGAGGCATAGAAGCTACACTACCAGATATATGTAAAGTCTACAAACTACATGTGGACTGTGTTACTTGTATGTAATATTTTCTTTCAGTGTTACATGTATGTAATATTTTCTTTCAGTGTAACTGTTGTAGTCTAGAAGGAGGCATAGAGCTACACTACCAGATATATGTAAAGTCTACAAACTACATGTGGAGTGTATTACATGTATATAATATTTCTTTCAATGTAACTGTTGTAGTGTAGAAGGAGGCATAGAAGCTACATTACCAGATATATGTAAAGTCTACAAACTACATGTGGAGTGTGTTACATGTATGTAATATTTTCTTTCAGTGTAAATGTTGTAGTGTAGAAGGAGTCATAGAAGCTACATTACCAGATATATGTAAAGTCTACAAACTACATGTGGAGTGTTACATGTATGTAATATTTTCTTTCAGTGTAACTGTTGTAGTGTTGAAGGAGGCATAGAAGCTACACTACCAGATATATGTAAAGTCTACAAACTACATGTGGAGTGTGTTACATGTATGTAATATTTTCTTTCAGTGTAAATGTTGTAGTGTAGAAGGAGGCATAGAAGCTACACTACCAGATATATGTAAAATCTACAAACTACATTTGGAGTGTGTTACATGTATGTAATGTTTTCTTTCAGTGTAAATGTTGTAGTGAAGAAGGAGGCATAGAAGCTACACTACCAGATATATGTAAAGTCTACAAACTACACGTGGAGTGTGTTACATATATGTAATATTTTCTTTCAGTGTAACTGGTAGTGTAGAAGGAGGTATAGAAGCTACACTACCAGATATATGTTAAGTCTATAAACTACATGTGGAGTGTGTTACATGTATGTGATATTTTCTTTCAGTGTAACTGGTAGTGTAGAAGGAGGTATAGAAGCTACACTACCAGATATATGTAAAGTCTACAAACTACACGTGGAGTGTGTTACATGTATGTAATGTTTTCTTTCAGTGTAACTGTTGTAGTGTAGAAGGAGGCATAGAAGCTACACTACCAGATATATGTAAAGTCTACAAACTACATGTGGAGTGTGTTACATGTATGTAATGTTTTCTTTCAGTGTAACTGTTGTAGTGTAGAAGGAGGCATAGAAGCTACATTACCAGATATATGTAAAGTCTACAAACTACATGTAGTCCCTTAGTCATTTTCTTAACGTATGAATATTTAAAAACATGATGTTTTTCTGTGCAAATACTATCACTTAAGGTTTATTGGAGTGATTTAGCTGGGTTGCCAAAAAATTAACGTTGGGGAAATTTTTTTGTATCTATCACCATGGTAACATACTAGGTACATGGTGGTATCCCGACACTATGTCAATAGTCAACGCCATGTTAAGCCAATGCACGCCTCTCTAATTAGCTGATATACTTTTTGCCCCAAACTAACTTTTTGTCAAACCCAGTTAAATCACTTCAGAAAACCCTTGTTATTATAAATTAACCATAAAACATCGTGTTTTTAACAATTTATAGGTTCACTATAGTATGTATAGGGGTGACAAATGGACTAATGTGGAGTGTTACATGTATGTAATATTTTCTTTCAGTGTAACTGTTGTAGTGTAGAAGGAGGCATAGAAGCCACACTACCAGATATATGTAAAGTCTATAAACTACATGTGGAGTGTTTTACATGTATGTAATATTTTCTTGCAGTGTAACTGTTGTAGTGTAGAAGGAGGCATAGAAGCTACACTACCAGATATATGTAAAGTCTACAAACTACATGTGGAGTGTGTTACATGTATGTAATATTTTCTTTTAGTGTAACTGTTGTAGTGTAGAAGGAGGCATAGAAGCTACATTACCAGATATATGTAAAGTCTACAAACTACATGTGGAGTGTGGACGTCTCATCAACCTCTATGACTGGCTTCAGGTATGTCTTAAAGTTGCAACAAGTAGTGCAGAGGGGCCATTCAACAATCATGGACCAGTGTCAAAATATATTTAAGTTTGGATATTTCATCAAGAATAACATCTATTTTTATTTTCTACAAAGAAACCCCCTAGATAATCATTATTTCAGCTTATATTCCTCTTGAAACATGGTGGATCTTAAAAATATAAAAGTGGACGTCCACTTTTTCAAGCTTTGAAGTGAATTTACAATCTTTAATGCCGAAATTGATAGTTTATCCATACATTTTAAGAAAATAGGTATGTCGAAGAAGATGTTAAGCCAACTGTTGCCTTGATAGCTCAGAAAAAGTTAAAATTTTCCTATTTTCTCTCTACAAACCTTATTGCCCCTTTAAAGTAAAGGAATTGTTAAAATTTAAAAATAAGAACACTAAGTTACACAATACAATCTGTTAGAACTTGGAATAATTCTAAGTCACTATATGTTAATGTAATATGGATTTTTATATATTTAAGGAACAAAGACCGAGATTTTATGATTTATGGCATAATATATGACCGAAAGTTTTATTCTGTTCATTGTTAAAAGACCGAAATCACGTAGCAATTGAGGTCTTTGGCAATGGCCAGAATAAAATTTACGGTCATATAATAGATATAAATCATAAAATCAAGGTCTTTGTTACAATTCTAATGTGACAAACAGACAAGAAAAACAAATATTTGCATTTATGAATTTTAGTGGTCATACATACTCCAATATAGACATGAATTTTAGTGGTCATACACACTCCAATATAGACCAGTAAATCAATTGTTCTAGCTATTGGACGTCACGTATCATATAAGAAGTTCATATATTGTATTTACAGGAATTGTAACCTCTGTTGTTGTATTTATAGGCATTCATCATGGTGAGATCTTTTGTTATTGTTGCATTTACATATTTACAGGTATTCACCACGGTAACCTATATTGTTGTATTTACAGGCATTTACCATGGTAACCTCTGGTGACGAGGCTTCCTCACCTGATAAACAAATGCAGTATCCTTTAATATTAAACAGTATTGAGGGATTTCTTTTTTAACCTGTTCAAATACAATCATATCACGAAGAAACACTTCGTTTTTGGAATAAATTATTAAAAGAGCGTTTTTGACGATTGTGTATTTTGGGCTGATTTAACTGAGCGTACTGTACTGCAATTCAGTAAAAGTAATTTGTAAGAAGTAAATAGTTAGTTACCATCTTTAACCACATTTCAGAGCAAGGTTTATTCGTGCAGTTTCAGAGATGCAGTTTTTAGGTTTTATAAAACCGACCAAGAGGAAGACGGACCACGTTGCTAGGCTGACTTGGGGAGGATGCTAGAAATCAACCAGCATCAACATTAATCTAGATTTGTCATCTTAGTGGGAATTTTCTTGAAAACATCTAGATTGACTTCAAGAAAACAAGATGGTCGGCACCAAATAGATTCAAACTGAATAAAGCAATATTGAGGTCTTAAACTAATGGCACCTATGTTTTGTTTGCCGAGACTTTTTTGTTATAATGCTTTGATTTTTAAAATACTGCTAATCGAAATGCAGCAATACATTAATAAAATTGTCAATAAATTGTGATAAAGTTCATTGGTTTCTTTATTATGTTCCCAGCACACTGTTTGGGGCCATATTGTCATCCTCTTCACGTCCATCCATCCGTCCGTCTGTCTGTACGCCGGCAGTTTTCTCCAAAACCGTTACAGGTATCAACCACAAATTCAGAGATAGCTTTGGGTGTATATAGATGTGCCAGAACTATTTTTTTAATTGAATACCTACTTCCTGTCGGCCATTTTGAGGTAAAATGCTAAAGTCATCGTCTCCAAAAACTTTAAGGAAACATGGCTTCACAGATAATTTTAAAACGTTAACATGTTATTTTAACTCACTTCATTCTACATCTGATGAGGTTTGGGACATGTTGACTCAGTTCTGGCAGGCATTTTGAATATCGCTTTTTTTAATAATACTTTCTATCATACCCGTATATCTATATATACGGTTAGGCTATAGGGAATTACACCAACGGTAAGGGGGGAGAGAAATGCCCCCCCCCCCCTATGAATTCGGAAACGAACAAACATATAGATGGTTTATTCCATAATTGAGTTCAAATAGGTTAAATAACACATATATATATTATGATATTTTGCAAATCCGTGGCAAAAAGCTATATCTGTGGAATACGGAGAATATTCTATGCTTACATGGTGATTCATGACGTCATAAATATGGAAATAATTAATGTTTTGGTTATAGTTCAAATGATAAAATAAAACCGAATGATGTTTTGAAATGCTTTATAAGGTGAACTTTGGGATAAATAGAACGTATTATGATTTTTGCGATATCATTTTTATCCACTCGTTAATATTCAACATCTGCACTCGTTCGCTACACTCACTCGTTCATATATTGATATCAACTCGTGGATAAAAATGATATCTCTCAAAATCATAGGATATCCTATACTTATTAGGTATCATTGGAGAGGTTATCTAATTCCCAGTATTTTGAGCCTACTTATAACTAGATTAAGGCATTATTGAGATCTACATTCTTAGGAAGTAGGGGTTAAGCGTTTCAAGTCAAAACTACTGACAATTTGGGTATTTCACTTTTTCCAAAACAAATTGTATGTAACATTACATATTTTTATTATCTTGGTTTTATCAGATGATCAGTCACAATATATAAAGGCCAAACTTTCAGGAATCCAATTTTCGAACAATAATATCGAATTTAAAGATAACAATTCTAACCTTGTGCCATAGTAGGTATTAGCTTTTACTGATAATGGTGACAGAAGTACCAAACTGAATCTTTCCTACCCCGCGTGCAGAGTCTAGTTAAACTGAAGACGAAGCTCCCCAGTGGAGTCAAACGAATGCACAGGGTAAATTTTTCGGCAAGTGGCCATTTAATAACTACTGTGTTGCCATTGAATTTAGAGAGAAATGACCAAATAATTAATGCATATGAGAAACTTATTTGAGAAAAAAATCTATTGTTTTGTCAGGACGTTGTCATCGACTAAGCTGTTTCTTTACTTTTTGCAGCTTCATATACGCCTCCTTCGATTTTTCCTCGCTTACTGGTGTTTTTGTAGCTATACAGTATACTTGTTTGTGAGTTGTACCCACTTTCACAGCAAAACAAGTGAATCAAATCCACGAATCATGGAGGCAGGTTTCAAGCAGAATTCATATGCGCATATGAATCCTGTATAAAATTCTGCCTCCAGGATTCATGCAGGATTCGCTGTTTAAATAATTTACAAATGAATGCTGTAGCCAGGATTCAAGCAGGATTCATATGTCTGTATGTAAGGTACATGAGGTAGTTTACAAATGAATCCAACCTTCGGGATTCTTGCAGGATTCATATGGAATGTAGTTAACAAATGAATCATGTAAGAGTTCAAGCAGGATTCATATGTAAGGTAGTTTACAAATGAAATCTACCAACTTTTTAAATTACATTGAAATATACTCCTCAAAATAAGATAGGACCAGAGGTTTTTTCATAGGTTTACGTGTTAACCCCCATATTTGTTTGAATGACTATTTTCTAGGCTTGGAACAAAAGAAAACCTGATAAAGTAAATAAATCTGTATCTTGATTCTATTTTCTATTAAGTCTGCAAAATTCAATGTTATATCTCCAATGCAATGGGTCAAAATTGATGAATTTCATAAAATTTTGAAAATATGGCATCTCATCTATTATCGACTTCTCTTATATAGTGCCAGAATGTTCACCAAAGAATTCAATATTCCCTGATAAAGGTACTAATAGTTCACCCCCTCAAAATCTTTTTTCTTACTGTATTTTCAATGTTTGAATAGCATAATTCGTATTGTCACCGTTTTTCACATGGGATGATTGCCATCACAATTGTAACAAAACATTTCTATTTAGAATTATATCATCTATATTCTAAAATGATACGTGACATCACAATAGCTAGAACAATTGATTTAGTGGTCTATATTGGAATATGCATGACCGCTAAAATCCATGAATGCAAAAAGTTGTGTTTCTTCTCTGTTTAACATACTAGAATCGTAACAGAGACCTCGATTTAATGATTTATGTCAAATACTAGTAGATGACCTCAAATTTTACTCGTGCCATTCCCAAATACCTTAATCGCTGAGCGATTTCGGTCTTTTAACAATGAACAGAATTAAATTTTTATCATGACACCTAGCCTTGCCCAAGTCGGTCTCTTTTACTATCTTGTTTCTATTATGACCGCCTTGCACCAAAGAGAAAGCCACGTGCTTTACCGACTCAATGTTTATGTCGGTAAAATTTGACCAATCAACGACGGCCCTGCAGCGTTAGCCCATTATTATGCAAAACAAATACACTTTTTAGTTTTCGCCGGGACTTTTCACGAACAAATCTTGCATGAATTCATCATGAAAATACAAATATTATATCAGATAAATATCAATCAGAGTTTAGTGGATGCCGGAGCATCGATCGGTAACCGGAGGTGAGAAGATTTCAACAATAAACGTTGAAACGATCGCTGAATTCAAAATGAACATGTAGGCTGAGATTCAATCACTGATCGAAGACTACATGACCCGCTACATTGGACTAGGTCTTGCATTTTCATCGCAAAATCAGTTTTAAATCTATTGCATGATTTAATTTATATTAATGACTTACATTCCCTATGTACATTTAATTACATGTAACTCTAAAGAAACGATCGATCAGATCATTGAATTTCAAGTCGTAGACGGGAAGATTGCTTTGCTTAAATGCGGGTTAACGATTGGTCAATTAGCCTGAAGTCACACGTCGTGTCCACGCGTATATCTGTCAATAAATAAGGTTTCGCGATACCCCTGATAGCGTAGGCATTATGGAAATCTCGAAACCGTTGAATATCTTAGTATAATATCAGCAGCGATGTGTTGGATTGTACAAGGCGGTAATAATTCAAGATCAGATAAGTAAAAAACTACCGACTTGAGCAAGGCTACATGACACCATAAATCATAAAATCTTGGTATTTTTTCCTTAAATAATGTTAAGACAATTATTTACATACATTTTTGAAAAAGTACAATTGTTTCAATCATTATCAATTGATTATGCCACTCATAGAATACCCCTATGAATTCATTACGGTAATCTTGAAAAATCAGATTAAATTCAACTGGACAAAAGTACTGATAATAAGCCAAATGTAAATAAGCAGAGCTACTTTAAATTAATAGGAAGGGAAATTGAAATAGATGAGCCAAAATAAAAGTGAGGCAAAATACAGGTGAGGCAAAATACAAATGAGGCAGAATACATGTACGACAAAATACAAATGAGGCAAAATACAGAGGAGGCAAAATACAGGTAAGGCAAAATACAGAAGAGGCAAAATACAAGTGAGGTAAAATATATAGGTGAGGAAAAATACAGAGGAGGCAAAATACAAAGGAGGCAAAATACAAGTGAGGCAAAATACAGAAGAGGCAAAATACAGGTACGGCAAAATACAGGTGAGGCAAAATACAGAGGAGGCAAAATACAGAGGAGGCAAAATACAGATTTGACAAAATACAAGTGAGGCAAAATACAGAGGAAGAAAAATACGGGTTTGGCAAAATACAGGTGAGGCAAAATACAGATTAGGCAAAATATGGATGAGGCAAAATACAGATTATTCAAAATACAAGTGAAGCAAAATACAAGTGAGGCAAAATACAGGTGAGCCAAAATATAGATGAGGCAACTTTGAATAGCAAGGCAGAATTCATTCTCATGTGGTGGCTATCAGAGCATCATTGTTTAACTTTTTTCAGTATTATAAATTCATATATTTAAATATTGAATAATATATTTATATAGTTTAAAACCGTTGTGTATGTGCATTAGTTATCATAATATTGATGTACGTATAATAAAATAATTTTATAGAACACAACCACATCCCCTCCACCTGCCTCACTATGGGCGTGTTATATGTGTGGCATAACCCAGAGTGCGCATCAATATACATTTCTTTACAAAATACATGTTTATCACCAGAATAATATTAAAATACATGATGACGAAGTTCATCGGGTAGGTTACTTGATCCATAACAAAAATATTCTTAATTGGTACTACCCAAAATGGTGAAATTAAAAGTAACTTTTGTTATGGGTCAAACGTCAAACTCATTACGACATATATTTGTGCTTTCAGGAGATACAAATGGGACTATAGAACTTGACAATGTTCTGGTGCTCTATATGAGGCAGGCAATGCCATATATGATATACAAAGCTCTAGGAGAAAATGTATGCGACCAAGATGAAGTTTTACAGTATGCAAAATTAGTTGGGCGGACTTGTTGTAAACGCATGCTATTATACAGGTCCTAAATTCATGTTATTTCAAAAGGACAATTTGTCGCAAATAACAAGTTATTCCCAATGATGCCATGTATGCAATAT